TTTTGCTTCACCCGCACCGCTTGCCGCCGGCCACAGTGGACCCACTCCCCCATTCTAGTACACTCTACTATAAGCGCGAAAATGCACGCGACAGCGACGAGCGACGAAACAGGGCGTTCGCGCGACGTGTCGCGTGCTCGTTTTCGCGCGATCGCTCGGTTCTCCAGACTTGAGGTCCGTTCGATTCACCTGCACCGGTCGGAACCAATTCACGGCTGTGCACGCGAAGTTCAGAAATTGTGCAGCGTGAGTTTAGCGGTGCAGGCACAGCACGACACCCGAAACGAATGACGATGTGCCGACAAGGTGCAGGCCTTATTTCTTTTCGCTTAATTTACACCGTTCAGCAAACACTGACCGATGGCAAATCGAACATGCGGACAGTTTATGAGGCGCAAACATCTCGGCAAAACACACCGCATTTGTAGAGGCGGGTACGGCGCCTAAGCCACCTACGTCTAAGTGCTGCGTCGTCTGCTCAAGGTCCGTTCGATTCGCCTGCACCACGTGAACCAGTTCACGAGGTGCTGCACCTTGCCATTCGTTTCAGCGGTGCAGCAATGACGACCGCTGAACCCTGCCATTCGTTTCGAAAGGTGCAGGATAGGTGCAGCACCGGTTCATGATTTTCCTGCACCTCCTTTGCTGACGGTGCCGGCTTGGTGTAGGCGCGCGTGCAGCTGAGCAGACGACGCAGCACTTAGACGTAGGTGGCTTAGGCGCCGTACCCGCCTCTACAAATGCGGTGTGTTTTGCCAAGATGTTTGCGCCTCATAAACTGTCCACATGTTCGATTTGCCATCGGTCAGTGTTTGCTGAACGGTGTAAATTAAGCGAAAAGAAATAAGGCCTGCACCGCTGAACTCACGCTGCACAATTTCTGAACTTCGCGTGCACAGCCGTGAATTGGTTCCGACCGGTGCAGGTGAATCGAACGGACCTTCAGCTGCACGCGCGCCTGCACCCAGCCGGCACCGTCAGCGAAGGAGGTGCAGGAAAATCATGAACCGGTGCTGCACCTATCCTGCACCTTTCGAAACGAATGGCAGGGTTCAGCGGTCGTCATTGCTGCACCGCTGAAACGAATGGCAAGGTGCAGCACCTCGTGAACTGGTTTACGTGGTGCAGGCGAATCGAACGGACCTTTGGAAACCGTCGCTCATCACCCGAAAGTGCTGGACTCAAGCAGCCAATAGCAAAATACCGGAAAAGACAAACACTACATAGGTGCACGTGACCTTGCCCTAGTCACGTATGCGCAACAAGAAATAACGCAGTGTTTATTACGCATGTGCACATAAAAAAGTGCTGCAAGGCAATAGTAAACACTTTCCGTTTCATTACACAACAATATATCCTATTTTCAAATTGCATACCACTCGCTACGCGGTTTTTTTGGTGCGAGTAGGTGGCCTCATGCCAGCAACAGTGAAATTCGCTCGCCGAAGCCGTCGCGTGAATGAGGTTTGCCTGCGCTAGCGACTGATCGCGCGAAGACGATCTACGTCGCGTCGCTCGTCGCTGTCGCGTGCATTTTCGCGCTTATGAGGTTTGGCCCTAACCCACGGAGGAAGGAAAAAGGTAAGGAGATGCCCTGACGTCACTCGTAGTGAAGCCGCGATGAAGCCGGAAGTCGGCCATATTGACTAGGCAAGTTCTCCTCTCTTGTTTACATATGAATGCGAAGCAGAAGGCGCGACTCCCCCTCTGTCTCAAAAAGCACGTGGCCTGCGCGCCGCGTGCGCCAGTGCTATCCGAAACCAACGGAACGGATTTCAACACGCTGTCTTGCCGCGATACGGTCAACGAAATCTCTGCGTATGGCTGTTGTAGTCTTGCACTGCCGGCTTTTACGATAAACACGGCAGGTTGCACGTTAAGCTTTTTTTTTTGTTTGATGTGTTCTTTGTGAAAATAAAGATGATATTTCGGACATAGCCGCGCGACGAACCAGGCACCGAAATTTGAACAGCTTCTTTCAGATCACTTTTCTCCCCCTTTTGTGCTTCTCTTTAGGCTTTAAGAAATTTTCGGTCAGGCTTTGGGCTAGACACAACGATAAAAAAAGAAAAAAAAATGTCATCCCTGCAATAAACCCAGAGGTCCGTAATTTTGCCAGTAAAGTCGGCGTCGGTGTAGTTTGTGTGCGTGGCAGCCCGTTGAGTTTGCGCCGGCCTCTTTGTTTTCACCCCTCTTTTGTCCGACGCGCACTGGTTCCTACGGATATCCCAAAGGCCATGATTTCATTAGGACGAAAGCAGCGAAGACCACCCAAAAGTGCGTGAGAACACTGCAGTGTGATTCACACGCACTAGTAGCTACGGAGAACGGAAACCAGGATCGCGTTAGGGCGAAAGGTGGGAAAGTTAGCCGAAGGAATGCGTGAGAAAAGGTCTGCGGGAAGCTTCAGGCGTCGACACAGCCGTCAAGAACGGCAGGGAAAGGCAGCCAAATGCGAGGGAAGCACGCGCAAACAGACCCTTCAAGGATGCCCGCCCGGTTTCAAAAGCGCCCGTAAAGAAACACAGCATTCCTCCTTTCTCAACGAAAGCAGAATATCATTGTGTATACCACACTAGAGGATTTCGAGTAGTATTAGCGGCACGTCCTGCTGCGTTCGCAGTATCCCTCAAAGCTCCACTGCAAGCACTTCGCTGTGTGCGCGGTCACAGCCACAATGTCCAGCTGTTGTGTGCAAGAATGCAAGTCACGCGGGTCGCAAGAAGTACCAGCCACCTCCTACCACTTGTAAGTAAATTTACTTATTCGGTGCATGCGGTAGAGTAGACGCCAAAGTTGAATGTATACGATGCGCATAGTGGCAGTTCTTCTGTACATTTATAAATTAACATGTTAGTTACGCTGCGTGTATACTGTGCAACACATATGCAATCTTTCATCATCAGGTTTCCCAAAGACGTCGTTCGTCGGACAAAGTGGATAGAAGCAATTTGGCCACCGCATATTCGCCGGGAGCCTGCAAGGAATGCTCATGTTTGTTCGAAGCATTTCTTAGAGGAGCATTTTGATCGCACGTCCGCGTTCAAAGTCCGCCTACGAGAGCATGCAGTTCCTACTCTTTTGGTGAGAACGAATGAAATTTGGAACCAATTTCCCTTATCTTCGAGCAAATTTTTGATTTATGCTCTTCGCTTTCTGGCATACGCTTTTGATACATGTATGTCGCTAGCGTTATAGTGGCAAATAATTTTAAAAAGAATGGACGTACAATAAATGTTATACTGCAAAATAAATAAATGACCAAATAAATAAATAATCAAATTGTCATGCACCAGTTTTATTCATCCATGCTTCCTTTTTTTTGACATCACCAAAAATTATATTCTCATGTTAAAAATTAACAGCACCAATTCATACCTGTTAGTAGTTTGTGCACGAATTGGTGCAATGCGAAAACACTTAAGGTAGCCCATAACTTGCATCTGAAAAATTATATATAAATGTGGTAATTAAAAGCAAAAGTTTTGTAAGTGCCTCTTGTATCATGTATAATGCTTAATTTATGTTGGTATGAAGTGACGCAACACCCGTGCCATTGTTATTTCGTTTATTGTTCTACTTTTTTCGTCCAATTTGCAATAGTAATATTGAAAGTCTTCAATCCCCCAGCTACCACATCCAGTACAACAAGGTGATAGAGTACCTGATTCAGCAAGCACCGAATCATCCTTTGATTCCCCTCAGCTCATGCAAGGCGGTGCTGAAGGCTTGCTGCTGCTTGCACAGGTAAACATTTCACCTGATCATCATATTAAGCTTACAGGTCGAGTTGTGCTTGAAGAATGCACTTGACAATAAAATAATCTGGTCACACTTGGCATATCAGAATTTAATGTGTATTTGTACAATGCAATGCAAGTAAAGCAATATGCAGAAACTGAGTGAATGAATACAGTTATATTGACTCAACCCTTCAGTTTCAATGCCTCGTTTTATCTGCATTGTTTTGAACAGTTTTTCATGAAGACATTTTTAACTAGCAGTCATATATTACTATCAGATTGCTGCAACTTCTCATGAAGGCCTCCAAGCTAGTCTCTCTACACCTGAATCGCCTGAGCAGGTTGCTGCAACTTCTCATGAAGGCCTCCAAGCTAGCCTCTGCACACCTGAATCGCCTGACTTAGCTGCAGGCCTCCTACAGTACTGTTTTTTAAGTACTGTAATGGCAACTACTACAACGCTGACATCTTGGAAGTTTTAAACACTCAAACGCTGACATCTTGAAACGCTGTCATTGTTGCCATTACAGTACCTTAAAAAGCGCTAAAATTATCAAAATAAAACGCTCAACATAATAGTAAAACATTCAAACAAATAAAAATTTTGTGCTTTACATATTAACTACTTTTACGCAAAATACAGCGGTCATTTGTGTAATACTGTGCGCGCGTAAAAAAAAGTGTTTGCAGGTTTGTTTACTAGATAACGCCACCATCCTAGTATTGTATCAACGTTTGGGAGTTGTGCGGCCGATATCGCCGGCTTGGTTGCGCCTAGTCGTCCGTGTTTTATGTTGCCATGAACCAAACATGACTTTATGTGATGGCCTCTTACTGTGATGCAACAGAAATTCATGAAACAAAAAAAATGCCGAGTTTATTCTAGCATGCCACGGAGGAAGGAAATTATGGCGGCACCCTAGTGGTTATAGGTTTTAATACATGAGCCCCATAGAAACTCAGCTGTGGGCAGCTTTTCCTCTAGCTCTATGCAAGCTGCCCCGCCCCCCTCCCCTTTTCGTTAACCTGCGTTAATGTAGCCTTCGAGACTCTTTCGAAATTGTGTAGCATGGTGTCGGCTCTCGGAGGTTAAGAAACACAAACATGGCGGCTCTTAGAGCTCTGGCATCAGCTGATTTAGTTCGGAAAGTTTCTGTTGCAGTTTTTTCTCGCCGTTTGGACCCACAGCGGCTCATAGCCTCCGTTTCAAGTGTTCAGAGGCGACTGTTATGTCTAACAGTAAGGCTGTGGTGTTTTGCGGTTGCCTCGTATTTCAAATTTTGTTCACAGCATGAGGCGCGTGTGTTGGTTAATCGCGCCGGTCGGGCACAGGTCCAAGATAGCACGGAATATTCTGTTCTAAGCGGCGTCTCCCGAGGATGTTTTTGAAATACGACGCCGAGATCTCGTTTAATAAAAAGAAGGGTGCTGTAATCATCGCTGATTGTTTTGCTGATTACCGGCCGTCTCGTATTGTAAACGTGCGCACAGGCACACATGGTTCTCGCGAAAGAAAGAAAAAGAGGATATAACGAGTTTTGTTGTCGTTTAATCGCCATCCTTCCCACTCGACCTGGTGGCTTCGTGTTTTTCTGGATCAACGGGACCGCGTCCTCGATCTATCTTTTCGAGGAAAGTCCATAAAGCCTCGCATGCATGGTAATGCTGGTCGATGTAGCAAACGCTGTCGCCTCGATGTCACTGTTGCTTACGAGTTGCCTGATGGCCGGCGCAATGTTGCAGAGTTCGACGTCGTCGTCGAGCAGCGACGAAGTCGCCAAGGCCCAGAATGCGACCGTGACCGCCGGCAAACCAACCATCTTCTCCAAGATCCTTGACGGCAGCTTGCCGGCCGACATCATCTACAAGGACGACAAGGTATACAAGTTATGCTGAACTGATAATAACTCGATCAGCCCTTGTTCGGTCATTCTTGCTATGCGTGCTTTCTTGAACAGCGGAGCATTTTAAGCTTTAGTTCCAGCCGTGGCCGGCAAGCGCTCAAAACTGGGTGAAGCTGTGCAAAGCGAAGTGAAAGCATAACATAGCCATGTATAGTGTAGTATACTATGTTATATATAGTATAGTAGAAAGAAAGTGGGAGGGAGGAGGAGTAATGTGAGGGTGAGGACGATTCCAAGTGGAACTGATGAAAAAAATCATTGGCTCTTGGTACTTGTATTCCGTCACAAGGGACAGCTGTGTTGTGTTCATAACATAGCTTGCCATCAGGGGGTGCTTCTCGTTCGTGAATTTTAAGAGCTTTGTAGCATTGTTCTGCCTCACAGTGTTAATCCTCATCTATCTCGCGTGCTTCCCTTATTTTTACGCTGTGCAGCCAGTAATTGCTGGTTGCAAATGATGTGCAGCTATCAGTGTGACATAACAGTCTTGATAGGGAATTGGTCATTGCAGAATTTGCAGGGAAGCAAATGCAAGCAATTAAGCTAGATGTTCATAATTTTTGTATGGCACAAAGGCCTCCCAAATACCGTTTGTCGTAAATTGTACAGAGTTTAAGTTTAACAATATGATACACGTAGAATGACAAAGGGGCAATAGAACAAAATATGATAGGAGTAACATTAAGAGATCAGAGGATGGCAGGATGGCTCATGGTGCAAACAGGGCTGCAGATATCCTAGTTGGCATCAAGCAAAAGAAGTGGACTTGGGCTGGCCTTGTAATACTAAGACAGGCAACAGAAGGACAGTATGTAAGAGAAACAGAATGGTCATTGAGGGATGGGAAATGAGAATGGCCGAGATTTAGATGAGCTGACGAGACTAAAAAGTTCGCAGAAATAAAATTCACCCAAACCTCATTATAACAAAGTTGCATTTTACGCGAAAATAAGTACGTTAAATCCGAAAATTTGTTATAAAGGTATACTACCAACACTATATTTATTCCAAGACTTTTTTTCATTTACTTCGTTATAACCAATATTTTGTTATATCTAGTGTCAATGTAGAATCAGCTCGTACAAGATGGGGCTAACTGGAGATCATTGAGAGACGGCTTCGTCCAGCAGTGAACTGAAACAGGCCGAGAATGATGATGGTGACACACAAAGAGAAAGGGCATAAATGCAGAGTCACTTGGTCCACCTCTCGTGCCTCTATATGTGTTATTGCAGCGCACCCATATCGTCCAGACCATGGGCGATGTGAACACTTTCAGTATTACATTGCTTATTCTTGATAGGAAAATTGCGAGCGCTAAGTTTTCAACAAAGGAATCGCATGCAAACAAATGTGCTGTCAGCGATGTTTCTGAACTTTAGCAGCTTCAATAAGCAGCATTTATTCCAAGCCATTGCTTAGCCAACATTGGAAGAATTCTCTATGCAAAACCAGCTGTCAGGCCCAACGTTTATTGTTCTCGAGACTAGCTCAGGAATAAAGCTTGATAAGTACACCTATGTGAGTGTAGGCTTGCACAAGCTACTGTGGCATTTGGACTGTTGTGTCGAAATTAAATTCTGAAGGAAGGAGCATGGGTTTATATCAAAACCACAGCATGATTATATAAGGATTGAACGCCATGACAGTGTGTTCAGGAAGATTTTCGGCCACATCGAGTTTATTAACGTATGTATACCTATATCTAAGTACAGGGGTATTTTGACAGGTTGCCACCCTTGAAAGACAGCCACTGTAGCCTCAGTGGTCATGTGAATAATCAACAGTATATATAACTAGTGATTTGGGAAGTGTACACTGTGGTGTGATAGAAGGTTATGATAGTAGTTAAGCACTTAATTGCGATTGAAATTGTTGTAATGATCACATTGTCATCAATGTACACTGTGAACAACAACATAATTTACTGATTCCCCATTAGTTTTAAAGCCTCTTGAGCTTACACATATACTTGGGTCTATAGCAGAATGTAATTGTTAATCCTCTATATGCAGTGCATTGCCTTTCGAGATGCGATGCCCCAGGCCCCCGTACACTTCCTGGTCATCCCAAGGAAGCCGCTGCCCATGTTAGACTCGGCCACCGATGAAGATGTTCAGGTATGATATTACTGGCCTCACATTGCTTATATATGTATGGCTCCCTCCAAGCGGATACCCCATTACTATGTGATTGTGTTAAACAAAATGGTAGGGCCACTAAGAAATGTCATAAAGACTTCGTTGAAATTTTCGTATGTATGTAGTGGGATCCTGAAGTTTCAGTAAAAAAAAAGCAGCTCATCCTTGTTCCTTCAGGTTTGTCTTCTTTTGTCATTGTATCATAACATGATGACTATCGTACTAATTGCTTAGTGCCATAACTCAGCAGTACCAACAAAACCCCCACAAAAAAAGAATGTGACATACTATGTCATAATTGTATAGTGGTGTGCCAATGTTTTTAATTTTTATTGGTGTTTGTGTCTTTTGGATTACTATAGCTTTGATCAAGTTGTTGAATGAAAAACCATGGCTACAACAATATTTACATTTCAAATTCATCATTCAGTCATGCAACCAGTGCAGCAAATGCATGCATAGACAGGGCTGAGTGTTGGTAGCATTTTCATTGCAAAGGAGTCATGGCTGATCACTATTGCGATCTGAAATCTATAGGAATCTATGCAATCTATGACTGGAATTTATAGTGAGATGGGTATAAATAGGGTATGAAACTATTGTTAGAAATCTGGATTCCCAACTCACGGCATTCATTCTTCACTATCTACCCAATACAATAGCAGCTACTCCTCTACCATAGTAGCACTAACTGCTGCCTCTTTGTTGCCGACATGTTGTGATTGTTGCTTCAACATCATGACAGCATTCATTCTACTAGGGTGAATTGGTCTGGGGGAACAAGTCGCCAAGCTTCCTATTCTTGACTATCTGTTCTATAATAAGATTATCCATACACTAATCAGAAATATTCAGTATCATTCATTGCGCACTGTTTCACTGTATGGTCCATCAACTGTACAGCTGGCTACACTAGTTTTTCGAGCGATCTATGTGTCCACCTTTAAGGCCTTCATTGATCCTGTGGTGTGTTCAGAGATCATGCGATCAGAATCATGCTTTTACACTATTTTCACATGCAGGCACGAATTATAGGAAAAAATTCTAGCTCGGTAAACCGTGTTCTCAGTCACTCACAAAGTGGCGGTGTCACCTGGTTGGAGAGCACGACCATTTATGCAGGCCTCTGTGATGGGTGACACAATTGAGGACCACACCCTCGCTGCAAAATGTGAAAGGAAACATTGCGGTTAGCTGCATCAGATGTGTAAACTCGTTAAGCATCTATTGTGTCTTTCTTGCCTGGCCCTTCACACCATTGTGTTCTAATTGGAAGGAATTAGAGACCTAGTTTGCATCTGCAGGTTTAAGGGCTTATGTGAAATGCCCCTGTAGTTTTCAAGTAGTCTCAAGAGTACTTGATAACCGCAGATGCATGTGGACTCTAGTTTTCTGCAGAGCTCGATAAAGTTTGTTTCCAGCCATATTTTTTGTTTTTCTTTGCAATAGATGATGGGATGTAATACTTTCTGTCCTCTCTCTGGCATTTGCATTATTTTCAAATGTGCAATATATAATTTTTTTTTCTCACTGTTATGCAGCTTCTGGGTCACCTGTTGCTGACGGCCAAGAAGGTTGCAGCACAAGAAAAGCTTAAGGATGGGTACAGGCTAGGTACTGGAACTTATGTGTGACTGCATGCCAGAGAAGGAAGTCTGTGGAATAGTTGAAAATTAAATTGGGAGTGCATTTAATATACATATCCAAGTTGTTAATGGTAGCCTACTATTATCCTTACTACCATGTCCTTCCAATGCGCACATAAATCTGGAAAGCTAACAAAGAAACATTTAAGGACTCTAAGGACTGCACAGTAAAATGGTGCAGTGGTACATGATGCTTTTGAAATCGTAGAAATATTGAGATAATATTTTAAAATAATTTTTGCATCCCATGAAACGTCACACTCAACTCCCAAATTTCATTTCAAGAAATGTGTGCCATCAAATGTTCCTAACTAAGTACAAGGGACTTTCAAAGTGCTTCATTATTGAGATCATTTGGTTGTAAAGGTCGTGCACCATAATGCTTTCAGTTTAGTGAGTATGTAATTATATTTATTGAAAAAACCTTTCCTTTGAGGAGGCATTTCATTTCATATGTATGTATATATAAATGCCATGTTGTAACTATCAAACATACATAGACTACTTTATGGATGTGTTTAGGGGCTACTATCTTGGGCTGCTTACATAGTTATTTCTTATTTATAACAACTATCTAAAGAACAATATTTCAGCAGGCTTGCGGTAAGACAAATGCTTTTCATTTCCTTGTTAATTTGACATGATGGCATAGGTGTATCAGCTGGGGGAGAAGGGGCAAGCGTCCCTTTCCACTGAGAAAAGTTGGGGGAGGGCCAAGTCCCCCACTTTCGACAGTGCTTACTTTGGCTGTACGCTGGGGAAGCGAACAACTAAGATGAAGTATTCAATCACAGTAATCATTATATTATATTGTTACAATGAAACGAAACTATTTCGAGACAATGTTACAATATAGCGAAATTTTCCCAACATTTCTGGTGTGATGATTTTCCTTGAAGGCATTTTGTGGTGCAATTCACCTAATGCAACGCTTTCCCCGTCTTGTGCTCTGGCATTGCAGAGCAGGCTAGCACTGAACAGAAGCCCTCTATCATTACATTACTTGTTCATGCTTTTATTCTGCTGTGACTGGCCGATTCGGTTATGGATAGGAACAAGCAAACTTTCTATGGATAGGTCAAATCATTTGCTGCTTCAGGAAAATCATTTTGTTTCATCGAAAAAGCAGTAGCATCACGGCTGCTCTGTTGGAGCTGCTGTGAGACGATGATTGTGACGTATATTTTTAAATGACTTAGTTTTGCCGTAGTCTCCAATCATTTCTATACACCTTGCATACGGTAATTTGGAGCGATGCCAGCAGCTTGCAAGATAACTACGAATGAAGCAGTGGACTCAAGCATAGTGGGAAACTCAGCTACCGGACCAAGGGGAAGGTGAAAGACCGTGGTTTTTAGCACTATAGATGCCTAATTAGGAGTCAGGTTCATCAAAGCGCGAGCACATTGATATATATATATCCAGTTGACGAGTGAAGTTAGCTTCCCCTCCTACTCACGAAAGAGTTGGTACGGCACTGCATGATGTCATTCAAGATACTGGTGCTAAAACCCAAGATGCTGGTGTCCAAGAGTCAAGAGTAAAATAGTACATACGCTTGTCTGTGGAAACGAAACTATTGTCTTAAGTAGAAAACTTGTAGCATTATTTAGTCCTTTTCTGTCCATGCCTGGCCATGCACTTGTCATTGGAAAAAAGCCCCTTCATCAGGCTGTCCTGCTAATCAGTGAGAAAAAAAGATGCATCCGCACACATTGATGCAATGAATATAGTAGTGTTATAATGTGCTGTTAATCCTGAATTGCAATGATGTTTTTCTTGATTGCTTGCTTTACAGTTATCAATAATGGGAAGCAAGGCAGCCAGTCCGTCTACCACCTTCACTTGCATGTCCTTGGCGGCCGCCAGATGGGCTGGCCACCAGGATAACTGCTTGACACTGTGCCAAAGAATCATGTAACATTTTTGTCTGAAATAAACTTAATATGTACCTTTTTTGTGTATATTGTTTTTATAAGCTGCATGACATGTCTATGTCGTCGATGTTAAAGGGGTACTGACACAAAAACTTTGGCCTCGCGTTTTTCTGCTGCAATGCGTTGCTGGGACCTGTTAGTCATGACACGACACATCGTTTGCTACAGCACGTGACAGATAATTAATTACAGGCCCCTCATTATTAATCAGTTTCGGTTTGAGATAGTTTCAAAAACTGGGTGCAACTGTTGCCACCTGGCGTGTGCAACTCTTGATCCCGTCAGCACACAGAACTGTGACGCATTTCTGCACTGTCCACATCAAAATTACCTTCGAATAGTAAACGGGACTGGAATGTCGCCAAACACAAAACTTTCTAAGCGTGCGCCACGGCCACTGCACTCGCAATCAGCCTGCCGAGAAATATAGACTTCGGGAACTAACGCGGCAAAAGAAAAAGGGCGACTCTGACGTCATCAGAACTTCGTTTTGTTGACCGCAGCAGTGGTGACGTGGGGGAAGTAGGGGGTCACGTCGGGGTCACCTCTGAGGGTATCTGTAGTGCTATGGAGTCGGTCGCTCACGCAAACTTCAAAATTAATTTTAAATACCTTCCAAGCTATATTCACTGATGATATCTTACAGATGATATACGAATGTTCCCGAGAATCGACCCCGCAGGCTATCTCGGCCCCGAAATTTTGTGTCGAGTACTCCTTGAAGACGTGAGTGGCAGAAACTGACATGATAGAGACACCGCGGTGAATCCATTGCAGGTATTTTAAGTGGGAACATTGCATTCGAAAAAGCTTTTTATTTCTGGATCAATTTTGATGAAGGTTGGCAAGTGTATGTATATGTGTGTTATGATTTAAATTGTGCAATTATTTTTCTTTCGTTAATCAAGTGTAGTTTTTTAAATACTAATAATTCATGTGCCTTTTGGAGAGCAAGCTTTTCCTAAACTAAGAAAGTTACAAAGTAAATAAGCAAATCAAAGTAATCTAGAATCAAAGCTGATTGCAGTGCAACAAAAATGAATGGTCTAAACCAGCTAGAAGAAAAGTTAACGCCTAACATGTCACTGAAATGAGTAATTAGAAAATAACATTAAAATGTTGCGATAGCAATTATATGGACTCTCTCCACCGAATTTTGCCGCCGGCGTTGACATTGGCGTTGCCGTCACTCACCGTATATGTATACGTATCTATATATGTGTGTGTAAACACAAGAAAGATGAATACTTGAAAAAAAGACTGGTGCTCAAAGTCGAACGTGGGACCTCGAATCGTGAATGCGAGGCGTTAACCACTGAGCCAAGGAGAAAGATCTCCTCCAACGTTCGAATGGCAAGCTATTTATATCTACCACCTACCACTGTTGATGGGCATCTCGGGCGGAACAATCGTGTTTTCAGCATTACCAGCAAGATGGCGCAATGAGCGTGCATAGCCACATTGTCACGACGCGGCGGCGCGCGCACTCATATCCCACGTGTACTTTTCCCCGCGGATAGAAGGGGGTGGGACGTTCACTCGTGCGCCCTTATCTCGCAGTGGGGAGAATCGTGCGGCTTTGTTGGCGTCGGGCTTTCACTGAAATGATTCTGTTGTAGTTACCGGGCACACAAAGGTCACTGCGATCGTTGCACAGTCTCCGTGTACGGAAAGGGCACGCTTTTCAAACACAGCGAAGTAACAACTGAGACGTTTATTCGCGTTCATCTGTACCTGTGAGTACGTTTCGTGCGTCATTTGTGCGCGAGAAACGCGGGGAATGTTCCGATCTGCTTGCCATTCTGCGAGTGACTTTCCAACTTGTTGCTATCGCATTCATTGCTTCGCCTTTGTGGCAAAGCTGCGACTTTTTGCTTTACAGCAAAACATGATACACTTATCTTTGAAATTCATGGGTGATATCAAAACTGATTGCACGTGGCCTGCAGACAATATGTTAACAGACCGACCAATGATCGACAAGGCACAGGGTTTTATGCAGAAGAATGTTTCGGGAGGGGCGGAGCGAGCAGGCAAATGATCATTTTGCACTATGTATGCATGACGAAAAAAAACATTTCAGGAAGGGGGGGGGGGGCACGGGCTTACCTTTGGCTACTTTACCGATAAAACAGTGATGAGTGAGTGAAAAAAATTATTTACAGAAAGGCAGTGAGATTGGCCTGAGCAACAGTTTGCTCCGACCTGCTACTCTACACTTGGGAGGGGAGACAAGGGAGATAAAGAGGATGAATGATGATCGTAAGGTAGGTACGTCTAAATATATATTCCTGTTACACAGTGAAGAAATCCGAATGAAGGCGCATCTTAGGTGACTAGGGGGCACTGGGCAGCCAGCCCTTTGCCCACGCCCCTACCCCCGTACGCACGTCTATGTCATTCGTCCATATTGGGTAGGGAACATACTAAAAAGCAAAGAAGCAAGATAGCTCACCTTGTGATTGTGAGTGCAATTCACTTGCCAGCTTTTTCACCAACTCCCATCGAGTAGTGGGCATTTAGCATGTCTGCAATCATTATTACTGACGAAAGCGTTGAGAAGAAGACACTGGCCAATCCTCCAGAGTGGGTATATTTGCCGCCTTCTGTCAAGCTCAAACAAACAAATGATGCTTCGACAGTATTCTTTAAGCGAGGGTACCAAGAACGAATCGCGGCGCGTTCTAACGAAAAACGAGCCCCCTGCCTTGCAGGATACAGTCCCCAATGACCGCAGTTCCGAACATGCAGTCGAGTCCACGGAACATACTAAAAAGAGGAATCAGTCGGAGATAACCACTGTGGGCGAACCCTCAAATGTGGTTACCGGTACAAAGAGTTCACACTTGGACACCGCTGGGCTCAGCAAGGTTGCTTCGGTGAGTTTTCATTCACGCCATTTTCCTACTTTCCTATCAGACCACCTCACATGACAATGTTTTCGGACATTGAAGCCTTTTTTCGACAGGCAGTCTTTGCTACACTTCTCTATACCAGTTCCTTGTGTGTTTTATGAGTCCTAGAAGCGCATCGCGCTCTTGGCCACCTGTTATTATGTATGGGAATCAAGGCTAGCCCGCCGCGTTTGCGCGGACTTTGCCGCCTCTTTTTGCGTTCTCATGTCCTGGCATGACTCTCCGCTCCTCGGCGGTCTGTCACGCTGGGGAGAGCGGGAGTGGAGTTAACCCCTGTCACCCGGTAGCGGACGTTGACTGTGGCGCCGTGCACTGAGTGTCTCGGGACGTTTCACGCGCGCGCGTCGAGAGTGAGGGAGAACCTCTCCGGGATGACATCGGCACGCATTTCTTTTCCGTCAGTCGGTTCCTTTTGTTTGGGGCTCGTTCGGACTTCGCCAACAGCGCCTTACGCCAACGTCACACTGCTTACCTTTTGTAGCCTCCCCCCTTCGAACGCTAGGCCTGAAAAGCGATGCGGTGTCCTAGTGCGTGGTCATACTACGCTGACCCGTACCTATTGGAAGCCAATGCGAGCGGAGTGATGCCCTCGCTCCAGCGACCGGGCCATTTTGTGCCCGATGTCCCCGTGAATAACTTTTGTCCCACGGAGATGTGCTCGCGGCATCCCACTTCTCGCCCGTGGCGTGGATAAGTACATTTGCTTTCCCACCGCCCCTTTTGCAACGTGCTCTGTACTGCGTTTTGGTGTTGCCGCAGGCAATAAAATATTGTGACCTTGAGAGCAGTACTGTGTTCTTGCCACGATGCGCCCAGCGCCATGGCTGTCAGAACGCACGTGTGCGGAGGTGACTTGCCCTGCGGCTCACTAAGACCGGACCCACAGAGATAGCAGCCACGTGTTGCGCAGTAGCGGTACGCGTAGCCCACTTACGCTCTTCAAAAGGGCCAACCTGCGTACTGCCCGGAAAGATACACCTTGGATGTCTCGAAGAATGGACACAGTCACACGCGGTGGCTGATTGCTGTTGCCCGGAATGATGGTCGCTGCGTAGCTGTCTCGCCCCTGGGCCGACACTGCTGTTTACCGGGTTTCGTTAAATAAATGTTGTTCTTTGTGTTGACGTTAACCGTCTTCCTTGCTTTACCTACGGACGGGATGCAGCAAGCCCGATACCCACAAAGGTTAAAACACGTTGGTGTGCAAGGGCTTTGATGAGGCGATGCTGTTTTAACGCGATAGTGTTAGAGAGCTAGTGTCGCAAAAAACCCGACGTCGGCCCCGTTGGTTGTGAGCGAAAAATCGCCTGTGAATCTGTGACCGAAAAATCAAGTTACAGAGATAGCCGCGGGAGGCTGCTACTTGTCCACGCGTGCGCGTGCGGTCACACTGCAAAAGCCGCGCGTTCCAAGAAAAAAAAAGTGCTCAAGGTCACGAGGTGCGGTAGTTCTTTGCCCTGCCACTCCTCTCTGCTTAGCTTCCAGCGCTTTCGTCGGGACGAGAGAAGAGATAATGCAATTGCAGCCGGCGACAAACCTTTGTAGCTCCACTCGCACTGGACGGATTCTTAAAAATTTTGCGGTGTTGAATTTGTGAGGCAATAAACCCTGCTAGTGAATTCATTTCATGGTTACTTGAAAAAGTGTTTCAGGGCCCTTATAACGCATTTTGTTCGACAGGTGTCACGACGAAAACGAGCCGATTTGGCGATAATAGCGTGCGCTGGTCCAATCTGTGTGCGTGTTTGTATGCGTGCATGTGTATGTAACAAGACATATTATTAAAAACGCAGTTAGCGGTTGAAGGGTGCACTAGGGGCCGGATTTCGCTATCGCTTTCAACTCTTAAAGGCGAAGCTTAAGGGTCCCCCAATTTTTCGGTCTATCACCTGTTGAGAACTAGATTACTTTAGAAATATCTCGTCGTTGCCATATTATTATTAGCTATAAGCCAGTGGCGTAACCAGGGGGCACCCACACCCCGAATTTCTTTTTGCCATGACATAGAGAGCTGAGAAACGACCATTTTATGGGTCAAGGAGTCCCCCCCCCCCCTCCGAGAAAATTGTCCAACTACGCCACTGCTATAAGTATACGTAGCTTT